CGCGCCATCGACCTGGAGAAGATCAAGCTGGGCGGCCCTGTGCGCCGCGCGTGCGTACTTGGAGCCGGCGACGAGAACGCCGTCTTGCACAAATCGATGGACTTCGTCGGCGGCGCCGCCTGTGTCCGGCGCGCTCGGCCTTGTCGTGGTTTGCGCGCCTCCAGCGTCTCGGCCGTGGCCCCTCCAACATTGGAGTTTGTGCGTGCAGATGTGCTGGCGAGTCTTGCATCCCAGGAGTGTGGCGTGTTACCTCTGCTGCGCATTGGCGCGGCATATTCCAGTCCGATCGAGTTTGTCATGGTCTTCTGGTGACGAGGCCTGGGGCAGATCATCGGAAGTTTTTCGCGCAGGGAGTTCGACCTGACAGAGGAAGCACTGGCGCGGGCTAATCCGAGAACGGCTGGGAAGATGTCCCGGTTATCCGGTTGTCGCGCGGAGCTCCCAGTCGATTCGTTTTCGGATCAGTGCGAGATTCCAGAGTTGGATGACTGGAGTCGCATCGAAGCGTGGCGTGACAGCATAAGAGGCGTCCACCAGGTCTGTTGCCGGGAGATGGAGACTGGGGGGGGGCTCTATTGCATCGTGCTTCTTGGCTCAGCGGGCGCAGCCAGTAGGTGTTATCGAAGGCTCTCTGCATTCCCGGGGCGAAAGTTCTTTCTTCTTGGGCCCGGAACGACCGTTTGAAGTCTTGAGGAGACGCACATGAGATAACCGCTTTCGAATCCAATGACGTTCGCGCGGTTCCAATTTTGGTCGTGGTTTCTGTTTCGGTGGATCGTCTTTCCGCCCGCGCGGATCCGACTTCGCATTTTCTGTATCCACGTCCTGGCGAACCAGAAGGAATCGGATCTGCGGGCCCTGGAACCTGGCCGTGTTGCGATTCTACGGGCGAGGGGGTTCGGTCATGAGCTTTCAACGATGGGTCCCGAGCTGTCTCGCGCACTCCTATCGATTTTCCGCGCGCGAGGGCCCCGCTCAACGCGGGTGCATCTCCCTCCTCCGGTTTGCTGCGCGGACCTCGTCCAGACGCCGTCCGTTCGGCGGCGCCGATGTCATCTCGCCGCTGTCACCTCGAGGGGGGGTCCTTCGCCCTGCGCAAGTAATGGGCGTGATGGTTCGACCCGACGAACAGACCGAATCTTTTGATGCCGCGCAGTGTCGGCTCTCTCCTACGCCAGCGCCTGAACTGATTTTATCGAGGGAACTCAGCGATCATGTCAGAGCCAGTCGAGATTCTTCTTTCTGACGCGTCTCGACATAGTGGGAGGGGCAGAGTGCCCGTCAAGGCATCTGGCGAAGCATCATCACAGACTGCGATTATTTTCTCGGCAACGACAGCAGCGTCGCTGCCCGCGGCGCTGGCGCCACTATCGTCATCGACGTCCTCGGGAGCGACGATGGGCTTTTTGCTTGTGGCGCCAGCAGGACCGCCCGCGAAAGTCAGCAGCTCAGCCTGCGTCTCCGCCTGCCGGCGCATCCGCCATAGCGGCGACAGCCGAGGCCCCTCGGCCTCGAATCGTGGTGCCAATCAAGGATGACCTCTGTCGAACTGTCCGTGGTATTGAGCGACGTCGTGGATGGAGACGCGCCAGGTGCACCGCCAGATTGCTTTTGGCACCAGTGATGGTTGGCGCGCATTTGGAACAGCACGAGCCAACAGACCTTCCGATGGCCTCCCTGTCCTCTTCGGCAGCGTCATCTGTTGTTGTGGGCCGAGGGGATGCTCGGAAGCGTGTCCAGAAACAGCGTAATCCGAATGCGTCGACATCCATGGAGCAGCCGGCGAGTAGACCGCATGCTGGGGGCACTCCCCAAGGCGCGGCAGATGTGGCCCACCTGATGGACGAACGCGCGGGTCCTGACAATATTGACTTCGAGCTCTTCAAGAACCCGAGCGGCTTGATTGGGGCAAAGTCCAGCATGTCTCGGGAATGCCGTCGGGCGGTGGAAGAAGGAGAAATGCTCGAGAACCTGTTCATGGACTTCGTGCCCAGGGTATGGGTGGGGGGATGCCGCTGCCGAATCTCAAGTTGGAAGCCGTGCATCACTAGCAGAGCCAAACTACAAGTCAAATTGAAGTTGGTGATCTTCCCATGCGCGTGGACATGCTAGGCAGCGTTGTTCCATCTGGCGACGTCGGCGGTTGATTTGCAAGGTGACGCGCTGCGACGAGCTGCGTGGACCAGGTTCATGACGACGAGGGCCAAACCAACAGTGCTCGGACGTCAAATCTCATGGGCTCCGTCGCGGCCGTGTTCGAGCAGAAGCGCCGGGGGTTTTGTGATGCTGGGAAGATTGGCCGGACCGGCTCGTGGCGTTGGTTCGCACAAGCTGGCGGCCAAGATATCAGCGTTTCTCGTTCGACTTGCAGACCAGGGGGGCGCTGACATGTGCCGCGCAGGCAGGTGGCAATCTGAGTGGGCAGGGGATTTATGAACAGTGGGACCTGGAAGGCGCAGGAGATCGCGCCTTGCTGACGGCGTAAGTGGATCACTCTTTATCTTGCGCAGCGGCCAAGGACTTGGACTCTCGGGGCATCGACGATGGGGTCTGGGTTTGAAAACTAGTCGCGCGAACTAGAATTAGGAAATCAGGAGTCGACTCCGCGGATGAGGTTTTGTTGACCTCGCAGAAGCATCATCTATATCAAAATTCGAGCATTGCATCAAGACTCAGTCAGGAGGTCGTGGTCATCAGGGCTCAGTGCCACTTGGGCACGCACCTTGGCAGGTGGGATATAGCAGCGGCATTTCTTCAAAGCTTGTCTCTAAATGAATGGACGAGGTGATCCAGATAATTCAAGCTGCCTTGCGCAGCCGTCAGGATCGTCTACTTCCATCCTCCAGCAATCGTGCTGCGGCATCTCGCGGATGCCGAGAACATCGACGTGGCCGGTCTTCCAGCAGACTTGCGGACTAGTGGTCGCGCCTCATCTTCGGCAGATTGCGTTGGCAATGCGTCTGGTTTCCAAAAACTGAGGCTCGAACCAATTCGCGGGGCGACGACTTCGCGCGCTGGGCGGCGACAGATATTGACATCGTGAAGGGCGCGTCTTCACTTTCGGAGGAGTGTGGAGATTCCGATAGTCTCCTAGTCTCCGCTGCGGACAAATGGCAGCCTGCCTTTTCCATTCCTTGGCGATCTTCTTTCTCGAGCACTGGAGTGGAAGCCGAACTTCTCGAGGTGGCAACTGGAACGGGAGTTCTGCGCAGTAAGAAGACAGGAGCTTCCCCTCATTGAAATGAAAATTCAGTTCAGTACCACATGTCTGCCGACGGCAGCGTCGTCGCGCAGCAACTGGATGGAGCGCCTGACGTAGACCAACCCACGTGGGGTCCCAGCCATTGATGACGACGAGTTTGTTTTGAAACGCTGCGTTCGTGGCAGTCGGGGCGCGCTGACTAGCGCGCTGTTTCTGCGGTGGTGCAACAGTCACATCCTGGCGTAGGTCACGCAGCTCCACGTCTCCAACGATTGGCCGACACGGGTGCGCCGCAAACGGGCAAGCGCGCTGTTTGAAAAGGCTCACTCGGACAGGCCGCTTGTTGGACTGCATGTTCCTCTTGCGAGCCATCGGATGCGTCGATCGTGCGACGAAGATAAGTGCGTTTTTTTTTTTTTTTTTTTTTTTTTTTTTTTTTTTTTTTTTTTTTTTTTTTTTTTTTTTTTTTTTTTTTTTTTTTTTTTTTTTTTTTTTTTAAAAAAAAAAAAAAATAATTTATTTTTTTTTTTGAAAAAAAAAATAAAAAAAAAGCCAGGCAGTTTTCCTGGCGCATGGCGCCCCGCTTAAGCGGGGCGACCAGACCGACGTCGTCAAAGGCGAACAGTTTCCTGTGTGGGAAGTGCCATCCAATGGCAGCTTAATCAAGCAAGGCGAGGAGGGCTATCTATTTGACGTCCGTGGGCGAGGCGAATGCTCTCAGCGTGGCAAGCAGTTTTCAGATCAGAGCCATTCGCGTCGCAGAAATGTAGATTGACCAAGACATGCCGCAGAGTGCGCGCATCAAGGAGATGATGCTTATCAGCGAGCGCGGAGCCTGCGAGTTCACGCCTGACCACCCGACGGACGGCAATGACGTGTTCGAGTTGGGGACTGGCTTGGGAAGAATCCTTGGGGGCAGGCAGCAGAGGCTCCCGATCGTGGCACTTCGTGAAGAACGTACCACAGCGAGAACACAGTGGAAGATGCATGTGTCCCAAGAGATTATGTTCGCAGGTGCTCTCACGAAACCTGGGATCTTCGAGCCATTCATGAAGCAATTTGCAGCTGGGAAGCTGGGCGTGGAGATTGTGACGAAGGTGGCAAAGGCCAGACGGATATCTTACAAGCCCGGTGAGCACGCGGAATTTGCCATCGGCAAAATCCCGAAATATGCGAACACTTCGGATGACAGCGACATGCAAAGTATTATCAATCGTGTGTGCTCGGTCGACTTCGTGAACGTTGACTGCCCACTTCCGGAAGCGTGAGGCGATCTGCGGACACACCGAGCATCTGCTGTCCTACCTTCTCTCCCTTCGATCGAGCTGGTGAGCCGTTTTGTTACTACGTTGTCTTTTCTGTTCATTGTCCAGCCGCACAGCCATTCAACAAGTATAGTGGTATTGAGAGTGTTAGCAGGCATTGACACAGGACAGATTTGCAAGGATCAGATGTGTGCTATTTGTTCCGTGCGTTTTTTTCAGTGCTCAGGGTTTCACGAATCGAAACTAAACATCTCAGTCTTCCCCCCTTCCCCCTCTTCCTCACCCTTCTCGATAGTCTTCTTATCGCCTCCTCCTTCCCCCCTTCGTTCGGGGGCGGTCAAAGAGGGGGTAATGATCAGGGGTGCGTGGATATCATGGCCTGGGTCCCCTCTTCTTCTTTTACTACGTTCCCTGGTCCCCCTCTCGTCCGCGCGCAAGCCTCGGGCCATGATTTGCGAATCCCCCTCCAGGACACCCCCTCCTGGACGACCCCGACCCGTTTTGCCGCTCGCTCCCGCGCCGCGGCCGTCCAGGAACCGCTGGGGAGCCGCAAACTGATGCGACGGCGAGCACTCGAGGCCCGCGGGGGTGGGGAAAGCTACGCAGGGACGGGGGGTGGGGGGTGGGAAAGGGACAGGAGGTGGAGGTTGGAGGAGGCCCTTTTTGATTCTTTCGTAGTGGTGGGGATGGTTATCATGGTGATGGAGATTATGGATCGGGGGTCGTCTCCTTGCTGCTCATCGTCAGTGGCTTTCCCAATTCTGTCCTTCTCCCACTCATCTTTGGTGCTCGCTGTTTTCAAGCAGACCGCGGCCGCGCGAGCGGGCAGGCCTAGGCTTGCCGACGGACGCCTCGAGCGCCCGCTCACGCGGCATGCCCAAGAAAAGGTTAGAGGCGGCCAGGGGTCAGGATGAGGAGGAGGAGGAGGAGGAGGAGGAGGAGGAGGAGGAGGAGAAACAGGAGGAGGAGGAGGAGGAGGAGGAGGAGGAGGAAGACGACCAGTGTAAACCCAATAGTCATCAACGATGTTGGTATAAACCCTCCGTCCAATCTCCCTTTTCATAAGCACATGCAACGAGTCATCTCCACTTCGGGAGTTGTCTGGGTGGAAAACAATCGTTCGAAACAACGGACGAATGTCAAAACAGTGTTCTCGGGATTCCAACGCCACGGATAAACTTGAGTGTTGCGTGTCGACGGTCCTGAATCGTGCCAGAACGCCATTCCTTGGACACCAACACCGCGAACTAATGTAACTGTTGCACACTCATAACCCTGAACCCGTCCAAAACATTCTTTCTGGTACGCGGATCATGGGAACCCGTGAAATTCTAGCGTTTACAAAGCAAATGTGCATGGCGCTAAGGCGAGAGCGCCATTTTGAACAGAATCCGCCCTCAATCCGTGGAGGTCTTGAATGTGCGCGGCGCTGAGGCGAGAGCCACATGTTGAAAACCAGTCGCCTTCAATCCGTGAAACTCTTGCACATTGTTAAATCGAGTATGCGCGGCGCTATGGCGAGAACCATATTTTGAAAACCACCCGCCCTCCGTTTGTGAAACCGTTGCCATTTTTCCAGTTTCAGGAGCATCACTGGTGAGGAAATCTCAGGCGAAACGCCCGGCCCGCCCTAAAAACTTGATTCGAGGTGGGACAAGGAAAAGACAAAGGGGGAGGAGGAGAAGGAGGAGGAGGAGGAGGAGGAGGAGGAAGAGGAGGAGGAGGAGGAAGACGACCAGTGTAAACCCAATAGTCATTAACGATGTTAGAATAAACCCTCCGTCCAATCTCCCTTTTCATAGGCCCATGCGGAGGAAGGATGGGGGAGGGGGAGGAGGATGAGGAGGAGGAGGAGGAGGAGGAGGAGAGAGGAGGAGGAAGAGGAGGAAGAGGAGGAGGAGGAGGAGAGGAGGAGGAAGACGACCAGTGTAAACCCAATAGTCATCAACGATGTTAGTATAAACCCTCCGTCCAATCTCCCTTTTCATAGGCCCATGCGGAGGAAGGATGGGGGGAGAGTAGGAGGAGGAGGAGGAGGAGGAGGAGGAGGAGGAGGAGGAGGAGGAGGAGGAGGAAAAAGAGAAGGATGGAGGAGGCAGGAATGAAACGCGCGGCGCTGCGGATGAACAACGAGGACTCAACACACATGAGGGTTGGGCACAATGTTTGCCAGCTTGGACCCCCAAACAGTTTTTGTTTGCACTCCCGATGTTCAATATGTGGCGCAGTATCAGCAGTGTTAGCACAAGTTCCAATATCAACATGAGGTGTAAGAGTGGTGGCGGCGACCAGGCGAAAACCCATGGAACGTAGCTAACACTCGCGGCGGCGACGGGCAGCGACCGAGCGTAATCTCCGAGGATCCAGCCAGCGCAGGAGGCGTCGACGAGGCTGCGACAGGCGGCGACGGTGAAAACCCAGCTCACCCAGCCAGCGGCGACGGGCGGCGACGAGGCGGTGCCGAGCGGCAGCTGGGCGAAAACATGCGAAAACCCAAGGAAGCTAGCCAGCGCACGAGGCGGCGACGAGGCGGCGACCAGGCGCACACCCAGCGAATCCAGCCAGCGCACGATGCGTCGACGAGACGTAGACGCGCTGCGACCAGGCGAAAACCCAGGTAACCCACCCAATCACTCTGCAAAGAAAGTACGCAGGCAGCCCCTACTGCACAGAGGGTATGCAGCCCCTACATCCCCAGGACGAAGGTTGGTCCTCCTAGGCCTACACATTACGGCTTCGGCTCTTCCGCCAGCGTGCATGAGAGAAACCTTGGCGGATCCAAGTCAAGAGGTGCGGATCCGATTCTGGTGTGAACCTGTGTCCGGGTGGATCTGGTTTCCGCCCACGCGGATCCGATCTCAAATTCCTCAATCAGTGCTTGCCTTGAAGGGGTCCTAGCGGAAGTTGAAAAATTAGGCGAAAGTTTCCCGCCGATTTTGGTAGCAGGCTGGGTTCCCGGGTTCCCGGTTCCGGGTTCCGGGGTTCTTGGTTATTGGTTCCGGGCCGATTTCGGTGGGTTCTTTGGGTTCCCGGGCTCCCAGGTTCCGGGTCGATCTCCTCAGCGAAAACCATCCGCTGATTGGGGTTTTTCTTTGGTGTAATAATATTACACCAGAACCCACCGAAATCGGCCCAGAACCAATAATCGGGAACCCGGGAACCCAGCCTGCTACCAAAATCGGCGGGAAACTGTGGCCAAATCTTTCAACTTCTGCTAGGACCCCTTCAGTGCAAGCACTGATTAGTGAATAATTGTGTTTTCCATCTCGCTTTGATCACACGGATCCGATTTAGCCCCTGTTCAAAGTGTATGAGATTGATCAAATCAGGGGGCCGAGAGAAATCGGATCCGCGACACCCAGGCACGGCGCCGTTAACATTCTAAGGGGGAGGGTGGGGGTGTACGAACCGCCACAGACAGACCCCGCGTTGTCTCACGGACCCCATCACCCCCCACCGCTCACGGGTCGCACCCAGCATGCACGCATCTCTCCTCTTTTTTAAGGCTGCTGCATGCAGCTTGTCCAGACGCTGTGCGTTTGGCGACGCCGACGCTGTCTTGCCAACCGCTTCTCGCCGCTGCCGCCTCAAGATGAATCTTTCGCCCTGCGTCAGTAGTGCAAGTGTTTTGGGGGGACAGCAAAACAATTGAGAACAATGATCGTCAGCGTGGACCCCCAACAGTGGTTTCTAGCATACCAGGTGCAATCTACGTAGTGCAAGCAACGTGGTACAAGTTATGTGGTGCAAGTTGTGTGGGGCAAGCTATGCGGTGCAATCTAAATGGTGTGCAGCGTATATAGTGCGATCTATGGGGTGTATGCTATGTAATGCGATCTATGTGGTGCGATCCATGTGTGGTGTCAGCTATGTACTGCAATGTATGTGGTGCAGTCCGTGTGGTGCGATTTACGTGATGCAAGCTATGAAGTGGAATCTATGTGGTGTGAGTGGTGCAATGCAGAGCGACGAGGTGGTGACGGGCGGCGATGAGCGGCGACGAGCGACGAAGGGACGGCAACGGGCGGCGACGAGCGTCGACGGGGCGGCGACGGGGCGACCACAAGCTGGCCTGGCTGACAGCAGCCCACCGACGAGGCGGCGACGGGCAGCGACGAGCGGCGATAGGGGCGGCGTCGGGGCGACCGCAAGCCAGTCGAGGCGACACAGCAGCCTAGCGACGGGGCGGCGAAGGGCAGCGACGAGCTGCGACGGGGCGGCGACGGGGCGACCACACGCTGGCCGAGGCTACACACCAGCCCAGTCAAGGTAAGAGAAGGAAGAACCTCTAAGTGCAAGCACTATTTGGGGAATGAGCTCGGATTTTGACAGCGTTGACCCCGAACAGTGAGTTTGTGTACTCTGGATGTGCGAGATATACTCTTGAGTCGATGTGGTGTGGCTACGAAGTTCAAGCCACGTGGTGGAAGCTAGGTGGTACACTATATGTGATGCAAACCACGGTGTGCAAGCTATGTGGTGTGATCTTGATGGTGCAAGCCGTGTAGTGCAAGCTGTGTGGTGCAACGTATGTGATGCGGCGTACGGTGCAAGCTACGTGGAGGAAGCTATGTGGTGTAACCTACGTGGTGCGGCCAGCGCACGATGCGCCCACAAGGCGCTCATGAGGCGCCCACCCCCTCGTTCCCATGGTGAAGCTGGGCCCCCCCAAGCCCGCAGGTTTCGGAGGCCTCTGGACTCTGCAGGCTCCCAACAGCTCCGAACGCGAAAACCGCTCCAAATCCTTGATCCTTTGTCCATGATCCTCGACCCTCCAGGACCACCTCGAGCGCTGAGGACAACAGCCGTCCTCCCTCTTCCTCCGCCTCCTCGCCCTCCTCCTCCTCCTCCTCCTCCTCCAGCGGCCTCGTTGTTGCATCCTCGTTCAGGTTGCGGCCGCTCGCGCCAGCCTGGGCACGAGCGCGCTCACTGGCGGGGCGCGCACGACTCTGGCCTTCGACCTCGGTGCTCCCGCCCTTCTCTCCACACCGTTCCACGAGCGCCGCCGCCCCGGGCCACCCCGCCCGACGACCCTTTCTGGCCCCCCCACGCGCGCCGAACCACACCCCTTGACGCGATCCACTGTGGGGCCGCGAAGCGTGTGAGGGCGTGCCGAAATGGGATGCGGCGGGCACGTGCGAACGCAGCCACTGGGGCCGTCGGTGGAGCTCCCCCTGGGGCCACGAAGCGCGCGAGGGGTGTACCCAAATTGGTGCGGTGGACGCGTGCGAACGCAGCCACTGGAGCCGCTCCGCCTCGCGAAGGGCAGTCGATCCCTGCCCCTCCACGGGGGACCCCCCCCAAGGCTCCGAGGCGTGCTGCGAGTCCAACTCGGAGTCTCCGGGCCCCGAGGAGCCGGCAGCCGGGCACCGCCGGGGGCGGTGACCAAGATGCTGGTGTTGATCGGGACGACCGACACGGGTACGGAAAGAATGTGCACAAAGACCGACAGCAGTTCTTGTTCGTTTTGGGCAGGATTCGCTGTCGGCGTCGCCGCGGATTGTGTCCATGTAAGACAGAGGGCCGCCTGCCCAACAGCGGTCGCTGTTGGTTTGGGACAACACTGGTTGTTGGGCGTTGTACCCATTTTTCCCGTACCCATTTCGGGCGTCCAAAAAGATGCTGGTGCTGACGATTTGACGACGGCGGCGGTGGCGGCGCGGCGACGAAGGCGACGATGACGACGGTGTCGTTCGATGTTTGTGGACTGCTCGGTTTTCGACCCGAGGCCATCGCGTGTTTCGGTCTCTTGTGGCAGTTAACCCACGATACGGAGTTCGTGTTTTTGCTTGCAGCGATCCCCCGAAAGGATGTGCTGCAAATGATTCCAGTGTGTTAGCAGTGCGATTTCTGCCTGCGCTTGATCTTCATGCATGTTCTATGTTTTCGTCGTTTTATGTGTGTACTCTTCGATGGTTGACCATCACATCAGTTTTTTGTTATATAATCTCGTCATGCGCGTATGTAATTATACATCCACGTATGGACTTTGTTCGTGATGTTTGTACGATGTGCTATGCACATTGGTGGTCTTGTTTTGCTCTTGTGGGGGATGCTCATTTGTATGTTACGTATGGTGTCCTCTTTTTGCATGTGAAGTATATGTGCAACCTCGTTGGCGTTCTATTTTGGTGCGTATGTTAGGAGGTATGTATGTTTCGTCGTTCTGTATCTTAGGTACGTCTGATATTTGTTGGTGTTATTGCTGTCTGCTATTCTGCCCGTTGCGTGTTCATGACGCCCTTGAGCGTTTCTACGAAGCCGGCGCTACGGGGCACATGCCTGCCGTTCAGACTTCTGATGCACGTCCTCCACCTCCTTCTGCTCCTCCTGCTCCTCCTGCTCCTCCTCCTCCTGCTCCTCCTCCTCCTCCTCCTCCTCCTCCTCCTCCTTCTCCTCCTCCTCCTCCCCCACAATTTAGCAGTATGAATACTACTCTCCTCTCCCCCCTGGTGGCGTCCAGGAAATGGCCTGCCCCACTCCGCGTATAGTTTTTTTACACAGGAAACGGGTTTTCGCGCATTCTTTTCTTTTTTATTGCTGCTCTCGCTGAAGCGCTGGCTTCATTTTCGGGCTACCGCTCGTTCCGAATCGTGTTCCCGCGGCAGCGCTGGCCTCATTTCCGCACTCCCGCTCGTCCCGAATCGTGCTCTCGCTGTAGCGCTGGCGTCATTATTTCCAGCGCCATACCGCGGCATGGCATCCGGTCCTTCCAAACTTGTTTGAACAGGCCCCAGATCTAGAAAATGGTCTCCCGAAAAAACCATCGGAAGGAAGTGATTGCACATTCGGTGTCGATTCGTTGGTTTTTGTGCCGCAGAAGCCCCCCCCACTTTGGGCGTCGCCACGCCATGCTATGTCAGGCTACGCGTCCTCGTTTCTGCGCTTCCACGCTTGGGTTTTTGTTCAAAATGCTGCTCTCGCTGCAGCGCTGGCTTCATTTTCGGGCTACCGCTCGTTGCGAACATTGCTCCCGCTGTAGCGCTGACCTCATTTCCGCGCCTCCGCTTGTTCCGAATCGTTCTCCCGCTGCAGCGCTGGCGTCATTATTTCCAGTACCATGCCACGGCATGGTTTTCGGTCCTTCCAACTAGGCCCCAAAGCCTAAATTATCCCAGTGCGACCCTACCTAGGAGTTGGAGCCTCTAGGAAAGCAACATTAGTAGGAGCGGTAAACGCCGTCCTCCTCCTTCTCCTCATCGTCGTAGTTGTAGCAGTAGCGGTAGTAGTAGTAGTAGTAGTAGTAGTAGTAGTAGTAGTAGTAGTAGTAGTAGTAGTAGTAGTAGTAGTAGTAGTAGTAGTAGTAGTAGTAGTAGTAGTAGTAGTAGTAGTAGTAGTAGTAGTAGTAGTAGCGCCAGAACCGCCGACGCACGTGCGCAGTATATATATATATATCAGCAGCAATAGTGGATGCTGTGCTGCGCTATGCCATGCTCTGCTCTGCTCTGCTCTGCTCTGCTCTGCTCTGCTCTGCTATGCTATGCTATGCTATTATATGCTATGCTATGCTGCGCAATGCTATGCTGGGCTAGGCTAGGCTATGCTATGCTATGCTGCGCTATGCTATGCTGCGCTATGCTATGCTATGCTTTTGCTTTGCCTTCGTTTTTGCCTCACTTTTGCCTTTGCTTTTGCTTTTGCTTGGCACCCAGGGAGCGCAACTGGGGGAACCGCGCGTTTGCTTTTACCTTTGCTGTTGCTTTTGCTTGGCTCCCAGGGGACTGGGGGAACCGCCCGGGGCGGTTTGCACTGCCCGGCCCCTTTAAGCCAAGCGAGTAAGAACCCTTCTAGGCAGAGCCTAGGTAGGGAAAAAAAGCCTCCCGAAGAAGCCATCGGGAGTGATCCCACATTCGGTGTCGATTCGTTGATTTCTTGGGCCGCAGAAGCCCCCCCCATTTTGGGGCGTTGCCACGCCATGCTATGCCATGTTACACGTTAATCTTCAACACCATGTTATGCCATGTAATGCTATGCCATGCTACGACATCCGGTTGTTCGAATCAAGTGGAGATCTACGCCATGGTAAGGGATGGGAGGGAGGGATAAGACGTCAGATATGACGCGAGCGCACCTAGCTTGTCCTCCTCCCCCTCCCCCGCCTTCTGTTTCCCCCCCCCGCTCGGCCGCCCCGCGTGGCGGGGTGAGGAAAGGGGTGGGTCTGCTCCTCGGAGGCGCCAGGTAGTGGATTTTCACACGGGCGGACTTCATATAGGCGCCCCCATGAGAACTATGTTTTTTCGTCTTCCCCTAGTTTTTGTAGTCGTATTTCCTTTTTTTCTCCCCCGCTTGGCCGCCCCGCTGGGGGGCCGGGGGAAGGGGGGGCGCTGACCTTCCAGAGGAGCCAGGTGGTGGATTTTCACTCAGGCCGCCTTCATATGGGTGCCCCCCACGCGTCACCCGTCTACGCTCAAACGTGTGACGGTGATTGAGTGCGCCCTGGCGTGAGGGTCCGTACCCGCGGTGTGGCGAGCAGATTCTCAGGCAGGCGCACTCGCCAGGCCTCGACTACCCGTTCTGGTCCAACGAACAGCATTGGCGGAGGTTCCTCACTCTGGTGGGAATACTGGAGGCGCAGTGAAAATATCGTTGGCCGGTACACGACGCCTGTGTTGCGCCGCCCAGACCGCGCGTTTTGGGCATCCTTTGGCCGTCACCGCCCCATTAAGGAAGCTTGACGCGTACGCCGGCGATGACGAAAGGGCAGATGCCACGTGACAGGGGTTACATGAGGGCCAGAGTTAGGCCGAAGCTGGTAATCGGCGTCGACTGAGGACCCATCATTCGTGTATCAAGTAAGCATGGTGCGGATGTCGCGTCATAAGCAACGCTACGTTTTGACCCACGTAGGCCTTCTCCACACCCACCAACCTTTTTTAACTTGATTTATACGGCTGAGTCGGTTTTAGGTTTCCCGCTCGTGACAACTTCGACTTGTGTATCCAGGTCGAGGGGACGTTTGTTTTGCAGCCCCCATGTCACAGAGCAATTCGCCGTTTCTCTTGCTTCCTCTCGGCAGCATCAGCGCGATCACACTCAACAGCTCTTGCCTGTTACGAGCAAAAGAGCGAGCTCTCCTCATCACGATCTCTCTGGGAACACTGGGACGGTTGCCGGAGGAGGAACATCATGCGATGGGGGGAAGGGTTTCATTTGGGATGTTTTTTGCACCGGAGCGACTGCGAAAGGAAGGAATCGGGGGTGGACAGAACCCCCAACAGTGACACGTCGATTAGTGAATTGTCCTTTTTCGCTTCTCGACAGGGCGCCGCGGCCGTTATTTTCCAGGCTTGCGCCCGCCAGGTTTGGGCCTCAGGTCGTTCTCGCTAAACCACGTCTTACGAAAGGGAGGTCTGTCCATCCCCGAAGGAGCATGATGCGAAAGGAACATCGTGCGAAACATCATGCGACAGGAGGAGGGGCATCATGCGACAGGAAGAGCCCTTCGGGTTCCATCTGGGCCGGTCTCCGCACCGCAGCGACTGCGGCGCGAGGACACCGCGCCGGGCACGGGCGACGCCAAGGAGCCGTCACCGGCAGAGGCAGAGGCCGCCGCGGCTGCGCGCCTCTGCCCGCCTCGTCGCGGTCCTCTCCCTCGTCCCTCCTCCTCCTCCTCCTCCTCCTCCTCCTCCTCCTCCCTCCTCCTCCTCCTCCTCCTCCTCCTCCTCCTCCTCCTCCTCCTCCTCCTCCTCCTCCTCCTCCTCCTCCCTCCTCCTACCCGTGCCGCTCCCGCCTGCTGCCGCCGAGGAAGCGCGATCGGGTCTCTCCTGGTTCCCTGCCACTGCTGCTGCTGCTCCTCCCTCGCCCTCCGACCCGATCGATTCGTTCGTCCCCTCCATCCGCACGGCGGGTGTGGAGAAGTGCTCCAGGCGGCCAGGCCTGTGAGCAAGAGGTGAGATCTTGGGTATCTTTTTACGCTCGTCTCCTCCTCCTCCTCCTCGCCCCTCGTCCCTCCTGGTCCTCTGTCGGACCTCTTTCTACCCTTCGTCCTTCTTGTCCTGCTCCCTCTCCGCCTCCGAACTGCAGTGCGAAGAACCTATGATCCTGCACTGCTCTGGCAGCGGCCCCTGCTGGAAACTTGGACCTCTGAAGTCGAAGCTGCCCCGCCCTTTCCTCCCCAGCCATGTGGTGAATCCGCATGCGTTTGGCAAATCTTGCCTCGTAGTGGCCCTGGGCAAGGTCATCTTGGAGCCTTGTGGGATGATCTTGGCGCCATTTCGGGGTTTCTTGACCCGTCTTGGGAATATGTCGTCCGTCTTTGGCACCTCCTGGAGTCCTGGGAGTCATGTTGGGCGTGTTGGAGGCGTCGGAGGCTGCACTTAGCGACTGAGGTTCCGGAGAGTGCAGCTTCGGGCCCCCATCCTGGGGAGCTCGGGCCTCCCTTCAGACGAGAATTTGGGCCCTGGGGGAGGGCGAGCAGGGGGAGGGGTGCAGCCAGAGGGACAGAACGAGAGAGAGAGAGAGAGAGAAGGAGAGCGATGGAGAGAGGGAGAGCGAGGGAGAGAGGGAGAGGGAGAGGGAGCACATCATGCCGGGAGGCCGCGCGCCGTGCTGCAGAGACGCGGGGGCACGAGCGCTAGCATGGGTGCACCCGCAGCCGCCGTCGCTCCCGTTCTGCGCCCCGCGGGCTCGCTCCTGGAGACGCTGCGGGCCGGGCTGCCGGCTGCGGGCGCCTGGCCTCCTCGCCTGCCGCTCCGCGGCTGGCGTGCGGCCGCGCCCGAGCTGCTCGTGCGCCTCTGGGCCTCGGCTCGCCTGCCCAGGCCGGGTGTTGCCAGAGGTGCCCCTGGCCCAAGTCGAAGGAGAAAGAACAGCATAAAACGGCCTGCGCGGATGTATGGCGCGCTCCGCCCGCGAGGGAGGGGGGTCCAGCGCAGATCCAAGAGATCCGCGCCTAGCGCCCAAAGCTTATGTTTGTGCCGTTTTTTGTCCTTCTACCAAGGTGCTCCCGCGACTTCCGAGGCCCCCGACGAGGGGGCCACAGCTCGGAGGTCAACTCCACCGGGCTCCCTCGCCCCGGGCGTCCTCGCCCTGGCCGCCATCGCGGCCGCCTCGGGCGCGCCTGCCGCGTGCTGCCGGCGCCAGCGCTGCGGCTCTGGCCGCTCCCGGGCCCCCCGCCGGTCGTCGTGCAGGCGGGCGAGCGGCCCACCGTCGAGGCGTTCGGCCTCCAGCAGGCTCGTGCTGTCCGCGCTCGCCGCCTCGGACTCGGTCAGTGATGGCGGCCGCGCCCTCCTCCTCTTCCTCCTCCTCCTCATCCTCCTCCTCCTCCTCCTCCGTAGCCATTTTGGCTCAGGCATTCCCCTGGTCCTCCTGCCAGTCGCCCGCGCCGTCCGCATGCCCGGGCTGCGCGCCGATGTTGCTGGAGGCCTTCGGAATTTGGCTACGGGGGGCCGCCACCCGTCGGTGGAGCGGCCCGTGCGGCACGTGCGGTGCGAGGAGGCCTCTCGCCTAGGGGCCTCCGCGGCGCGCCGTGCTGCGAGGCGGCGCGGGTGCGACGCCCTGGAGCGCGGCCTCTGCCGTGCGCTAGACCGCCCCGCTGGGCCCTTGCATGGAGCCGCGCTCGGGGCTCTCGGCGACGAGGTGACGAGGAGGGAACGCCTCTCTCGCCCGACCTTGGTCGCGGGGGTCATCGGAGCGAGGGCGAGGCCAGGGCAGGTGCTGGTGCGGAACTGCGCCCAACACGCTGCCAGCGTGCCTGACGACGGGGTGCCCCTGTCGGAGTGGCGGCTTGCAGAGCTGGGGCCGCGCCTGGGCGAGCAGCTTGTGGAGTCGGCCACGCTTCCCGAGGTCCCGGGGGGCCTGGGCGTGGCCGACCTGGCGGCGGAGTTGCCTGCGCGGATGGCGGTGCTGGCGCTGGACGTGGACGTCGACGACAAGGTGAGTGGCGACGGGAACGCTGTGAAGGCTCCCGCCGCTGGAGGTTGTCGTGCCGTCTCCACGGTAGCCGAGCTAGTGCTGGCAGAGCCTGGCGGGGCAGGCGACGGATTGCTGGCGCCAGGAGTGTGGCAGGTCGGCGAGTGCGCTGAGGCGGAGGGCTTCGTGCAGGGCTTGGCCGCGGGGTCGGCGGCTGACCGAGCAGTCAGCGTTTCTCGCGGTTTCCTCTGAGGCACCGCAGGAGACGGAGGCTGCGCCGCCGCTCGGCATCCCCGTGGTTGTGGCGCCTGCTGGGTGGGGTTCGCTGGAATGCCACGTTCCTGAGCGTGCTCCACTTCGCGCTCCTCTTCGACCTGAACAACTTCCCGGTCCTTACCCTGGCACCGTGGCGGCTGTCGCTGTGAACCTTGGGCCTTCCGCTGCCGTGCCCGCGGGCGGGGCCTCTCCGCCCTCCGCAGGGCCCCTGGCGGGGCCGACCGCCCAGGAGGCTGGAGGGCCAGAGGCCGCCAGGCGAGATGCAGCGCCACGTTCTGCGGGCCTCGTTCGACGGCAACCCAATGCTCCAGAGTGGCTGCTCGAGGTCAGCGGGTCGGATCCTGGTTGGGGCCTGTGCGATGTCGCCCTTCTTCACTTTCGGCGACGTGGGAATCGGCGATGTGCATGCAGGGCCTGCGGGGATCCCGTTCTGCGCGGCGCGATTGTGCGGAGTTGCCCAGTCTGCCGCACAATGTTGCATGGCTCGTACCTCGACCGATTGCTCGACGAGGAATGGGATAGCGACGGCCAGGACGACTCGTGCTGCAGGTCACGATGATGTACGTGCCTTTGTACGTGGTGTCGCGCTTCCTCGGGTTCGCGCTCGTGGACGGTTCCACGGCAGGTGTACTCAGGCCTCGGGTGGCCTCGCCCCTCCACCTGAGTGTAAGGCGGGGTAGCTTTGCGTTGATGTTAAAACATTATCCTCCTCTCCTCCTCGTCCTCCTCGTCCTCGTCCTCCTCCTCCTCCTCCTCCTCCTTCTCCTCTCTTCCTCCTGGTCAAGCACCCCGCTCTGCTTCATCCATGCGCCAGTTCCAGCATCCCTGCCGCAGTCCTCTGCCATGGGGGAGCACTTCGGCGCGGCCTTCGTGTCCCAGATCGCTGACCGCCCTTGTTAAGTCCACGCTGACTTCATGGGAGTCATCACGCTGGGTAACAAGGGGAAGGAGCAGCAGCTTGCCAGCAAGACGCCCTGCGCGTGCGTAGCCCGTTTCGCGCAGTCGCTCGAGGGCTTTCAGCGCATCCAGTAGTGCCACCACGTGAAGGCGCACAGGTCAGGCACTGATTACGAAGCGATGGACTACGAGCAGCGTCGACTCACCGATGCCAGCGTTGTTGCTGATGTGAGGGCAAGGACGGCGACATCCATGCACCCGAGGCTAGTTGATGACATGATTGAAGCCATGGAGACAGCTGTCGGCAGGGTAGGCAAAGCAGCACGGCTCGTGGCGTACGTGATGCCGATCTTCGACAAGGACGACCAGCTCAGATGGACGAGGCGAACCCCAGCACATCGGCGTGCGGCTAGCACGCGCAAGGCTACCTGGCATCAGTGGCAAGATGGTGAGCTTGGGGTACAGTGCCGTGCTTGCCTACAACTACATGTGCCAGGAGCCCCACTCCCACTGACGGGGTGTGGTGGACACCGAGTTTCCTCAAGGGTTTCCAGATCAACCCGCTAGGGCACAAGCTGGTGGCGGTTAACCAGTGCGGGACACTCCTAGGAGGCAACATCGAGAGTGCCAAGACCGTCTTCATCTGCGTAAGGTGTGGCGCCTGGGCGCAGCAACGGCGTCTCAAACTGCGACTTCCCTGCGTGGCGGCCCCAGTGAAGGGCCTGGAGGTCTTGCGGAATCCCAAGAAGGGAGTGGGACCGCGCAAAACGTTGCAGAAGTTCATCGACTCCACCTCCCCGCTCAAGAGAGTCAGGACCGACGCGATCACCAGCTGCGCCTACACGAAGGTCGACGCCCTTAAGGGCTGCGACATGGTGCAGGAGGAGAACCACACGTTCCAGCACAGGATGGCAGCCTTGCGCCAGTGGGTACGTGAGCGAGAGAGTCAACTTCGTGCTGCAGGTGACGAAAGCAACGCCATGTTCGGACATGCGCTGAGACGAGGGGATCTGCCTGAACTGCACAGGATACCCGCAGGAACAGGACGCAGGCATGTTCGCGAGGGTGATGCTGCTCGCCGGCGTGAGGCGCTAGCGCCGAGCGTCCACCACGCACTGCAGCACAGCAGTGAGGGCCTTCCAGAGGTGCAATCCATGGGCAGCCAGAGCGACGACAACGGGGACCAGCGGTACTCCCTGGGCGGCCACCCCCTCGACAGGGCTCCCAGCCAAGGGCGGGCGCCGACTGAAGAAGGTGGGCTGGCGGATGCTGCCCTTGATGGTGCCCCTTCCCCAAGGGGCACGCCTTCGGAGGTTGCGGATCCCGTTCCCGCTGGCTGGGGGCGCCAGCGCGACTGGCCACCTGGGCATGGCGCGCCTCTGGCCGAGGGGGCTGGAGGGCGCGGGGTGGCGCGGGGGGTTCAGCTTCCGCCCCCCCCGCCGCAGGCGCAGGAGGTAGCGCCGCGGCCTCTGCGCGGGCGTGGCGCCAGCCAGCGTCCTGGAGAAGCACTTGGGGCATTGCTAGAGGGGGATGTCGCTGATTGCGGAGAGGGAGTTCCAGTTGGCTTGATGCGACGGCCCTGCGGCCTCAGGCCTCCTTCCAACGTGAGGAGAGGTTCGCGGAGAGTCAGAACCAGCGACGTGGAGGACGCTGGGTACTTGGGAACCCCAGGAGGATCTCGAGGACGTGGAGATGATGGAGCTGGCGCCCTGCCGAGAGCTCAGGAGGGGCTCGGGGAGGCGCGCCAGCGCGGGCCCTGAGTTCGGGCGGGGCCAGGCAGCTCGTGGCTCGTGGCCCGAGCGGCAGGGCAAGGAGCGATGTGACGATGGAGCTGGCGCCCTGCCGATCATTCAGGAGGGGGTCGGGGAGGCGCGCCAGAGCGGGCCCCGCGTTCGGGCGGGGCCGGGCTGCTCGCGGCCCGAGCGGCAGGGCCAGGGGCGCAAGGGCGTCGGTGTGGCGGCAACGTGCTCAGGAGGGGCCCCCAGCAGCGGGCCCATGGGGGCGGGGGGCGCAAGTTGCGTTCCCTGGCGAAACAAATGAGAAGGGCCCCCCCGCCCCCCGCCAGCGGCCGCGCAGGGGGCGAGAGGCCCAAGGCGCCCAGATGGGCATGCACTCGAGGAGAACTCCAGGGGGGTGGAGTTCAAGAGGCTCGTCGCCCTGGCGACGAGGGGCTCGAGGGCGAGGCGTGCGACGTCGCGAGGCCTCTCGGCAAGGTCGCGCCCCTCCACTGAGGAGGGGGCTGGGCGGGCGCCCGAACCTCGACCTCCGAGGCCCGCGATGTCGATATCCTCCTCTCCCTCGTCCTCCTCCTCCTCGTCCTCCTCCTCCGGGCTCGCGCCCAGCGACGTCCCTGGTCCGCGCGCGCGGCGCGGGCGCATGGTGCTCGTGGCGTCGCTCCAGCGCGGGGGCCTCGCGATCTGCGCGCCCGACGTCGGTGGCGCCGTGGGCGCCGGGCGCCCCGGGGCTGGCGCGGATCACATCCGCGGCTTCCGCGCGGTCCCGCTTCCCAGCGTGTGCGATGCGGCCCGCGCGGCGGCGACGGCCCGCTTCGGGCTGGCCCCGGGGCTGCGGGGCGCCCAACCTCGCAGGCCTCCATGGCGCGGGCGGCCGAGCCCCTGGAGCTGCTGCAGCCGCGGGCGGCCGCAGCAGCCGTAGCAACCGCGCCGCCCGCCGTGGCGGTGGCCCCCCCGCCAGCGGCAGCCCCGGCCCTCTCTGTGGTGCTGGCGGCGCCCGCGGTGGTCCCGGCGCCCGCAGCGGCCGTGCCCGGGCGCCTCGTGGCGGCGGCCGCGCCTGGCGCGCCCGGCGGCCGCTCCCCTGGCGCGGCGCCGGTCTTGCTGGCCTCGCGGCTGCGCTGGGCGGCCCCCCCGTCGCCTCTGCCGCCCTGGCGGTGCCGCCCATGCTGGCGGCGGCGGCCGCGGCAGTTCGCGCCCTATTGGCGGTCCCTCCGGCAGTGGCGCCTGCAGCCCTTGTGGCCGCGCCAGCTGCGTCGGCCGCGCCAGCTCCTCGCGTCGCTGATGTTCGCGCCCTCGCGCTGATCTACGATTCGCTCGGGCACCGCCGCCGTGTCTTTAGGGGCGCGATCCTGGGCGTGGTCGAATATCCGTGGCCCGACTGGCCTGTCAAGGGCCCGCGGACTTGCCTCTGGGTGCTCAAGTTCATGAAGACAATGGTGGCGCGCCAGTCGGGCGCCGCGCCCGCTGGCGCACGGAGGCTCGCCTCCAAGCCTCTGAGTTCGGCGCCGCCGAGGACGAGGGCGCGTGCAGATAGTTAGCTGGAGTTCATGACTATTTACGACCAGCTGAACGTGGCCAGCCTCGCCACGCGGGGGAGTTTCGCACGCGGCGTCCAGCTCCGCGCTCCGCGAGGAGCGGTGCCGCGAGCGCCTCGCCCCAGACGCCAGGGGCGACAGCATTGGCGCCCACCTCATCCCCGGCTGCGACCTTGTGCGCGTCAGCATCTGCGTCTCGCCGAGGCTCTCCGAGCGTCTCACAGACGAGCTGACGGGTGAGTGGGCCGTGGCGAAGGAGCGGTGGCTAGCGCGCCAGGAACGCACCCTGGCGAACGTGAGCAATGAGGACAAGAAAGGAGGCAATAAGGGCAAAGACGACAAGGTTGATGACGACGGCTGACTGCTTGCCAGGCCCAGTACTTGGGTAACCTGCGGCCGTTCCACCTTTGCCATTCACAGTTTTGCCCCGCATCGCGGGGGGGGGGGCCAGTCGCCAGCGCGACATGTTGCTTCTCACGGCACTTCCTGCAGTACCCGCGGTGCCAGGAAACGGCTGATCTCGGAAGCCTCAACGACGGCGGATCGAGCATGCTTATTCCGTCTCCCGAGCCAACGACGCCATCGTCGACTTCGATATCTCCTCCTGGTGTCTCGCCGCCTGGCCATTGCAATTCGTCCCAGCGGAGCGCCGTGGCGCATGTGGGCGGGCGCTGCTGGCGTGTGTCCAAGCCGCCCGAGGTGCCCCAGCTTCGCGATGGGGGCTCTCAGCGAGCTCTTCGCCGTGTCGCCCCTCTACGAGACCGGTGGCCCTGTTCGCGTTTATGCGGGAGACTCTGTCTCTTGGCCGTGCGCTGGTGAGCGAGCCGTGCCACTGCAGGACCTGCTCAACCCGCCGGGCACTTCGTAGCTGCTCGAACGCGCTTCGCCCTCGCGGTCCATACTTGGACCCGATTTTGACTGGCTCGCCGTCCGCGTTTGCCGAGTTTCTTCTGCAACTCTGGCTC